CCTTACTCTTCTGAAGAGCGTAGGTCGGCGACAGCACACTCCTGAATTCCCCTGGGGCCCCCGAGCCCGAGGGCCCAGCTCGCGTATGAGCAGACCCAGAGTAAGCAGGAGCACCAGAGTAGGTGGGAGCCCCCGTGTAAGTAGTCTCATCATACGGGCCCCCTGCCGCTTCTTGCATTGGAGGAGCCATCTCGGGCTCCCTGKGTGGATCCCCTGACGGGTAGTCCAGTACCTCGGGCTCCGCATCCCGGGGCAGCTCGGCGCGAGTTCGCTTGGCGACTCGCTTGCTCCTCTTCATGCCTTGAAACAAGCGCCCACCACGAGTCCCTCTTGAGTCCATCACACCTGCAAAAAAGAGTTTGGCATCAGAAAAAAACCAGACAAAGCAAAATAGAACCTCTAAGTAAGGAACCTACCCGAACTCAGGCCGGCCGCAATGAGCTTGGCCTCCGTCAGATACTGTTGGCACTTTAGCCCAAGCCGCGCCCATTGCCGGAGGCCCTTCAACGTCTCTTTGTCAAGCGTAACACCGGAGTCAGGGGTGACCACCCCCCACCCGATCTAAAACGGCCACCCCAGCACACTTCGCACCCCAAAGTAGTCCCACTTCCACGTCGGGACCTTGTTAGGAAGATCATGTAAAAGATTAAAACCCGGGTGAGGAGACAGGTAATACGCTCGCCTATGCCTGGGGAGGAGACCCGCTTGCCTCTTAAGCATTAAGATGGAAGAAAAGATCTCCAAGTCTAAAGGAAAGCCCTGTTTGCTAAATAGGGAGATTGTCCCCACCAAATTACGAATGGAGTTCGGGTGAAGCTGGCCGACCGTAACACCGAAGTGATTCAAGACCTCGACAAGGAGGGGATGGAAAGGCAATCGCAGCCTCGTAGCGAGCTGCTCCCGGAATACCACGATCTCATCAGGACCGTGTTCCCAAGGAAAGCTACCCGAAGGTATGAAATAAGCGTACTCCCCAGGCAAATTGTAAAAGGTAATAAGGGATTGGAGCCCCTCAGGCGTCATGGTCGAGGGGCCAAACTTGTCTAACGTCTGACCCCGACGAGAGGTGGACGCCAAACTACTCGAGGCGACTCGACCTATGGGTTCAAACTCTTCCTCGAGCTCTACCTCCGGCTCGCTAGGACTATCAGGGGATGCGACTCGGTTCATAGAACTTGCATCTGACCCACTTGAAGAACCGTCTGAGCATTCCGAGCTAGACATCGAGGAGAGAAGGTGGATTCCAGGAAGGTACTCACCCGAAAAAAAGCTTGAACAATACTACTGGAACTTGAACGAGCGAAAACCTTGAAACGCGAACTGAAAGCCTGGGCGCGAACTGAAACTTGGACGTGAGCTCAAGAGGCAGCACATAAGTGACAAAGCGACTGGGGTCTCCCACTATTTATACCCACAGTGACCGAGAAGCAACAACACAGATCAAAGCCAATCCGACAGCTCGTAGTCGTGCTGACCGCACGTCCCCTAAGACCGAGACGTGATTGGCGCATGTCTTTTTGAAACTGACAGAGCACCGGCACACGTCTTTCTGAAACTGACAGAACGACAGCGCACGTCTCTTCACATTAAAAGCAGCAGCGGCACGTTTTCAAAATTTGAAAGGATGCCTGCTGTCACGTCTCCCAGTGGCGTGCTTTTTTGATTTTGAAATAAAGCGCGCGCTGTCACGTCTGGCAGCATTTGTAGGTAGGTCGGCGCGTTTTTTGTCTTTTGGGCGCTCGTAGAAACTAACCCTGACAACGCACCTCGCGCTATCAGTCAACCGAGATTTGAAGTACGGGACAAATCCACCTGCCACCTTGCGAACTCCCCGCGCCAATGCAAGACCCTTAGCATGAGGAGTTGGGGGCAATTGATGAAGGAAGATTTGACCCGACCTCGTAATCACTCAACACGTGGCAAAGGCAAACAGCTCGGCACAACAGCGCACCCAGGGCGCAAGCACCAAAGGGACGAAACCAGCGGTCCGAACTCCCCACAAGGAGCCCAAACTCCCCACCAGCAATCCGAACAAGGAGCCCGAACAACCTACGAGGAGCCCGAACTCCCTACTAGGAGCCTGAACTCCCTACGAGGAGCCCGATCTCCCTACTAGGAGCCCAAAACTCCCTACGAGGAGCCCGAACTCTCCCTT